TTCAACTTTTCCTGTTCTTCTCCTATTCTTCAGCCAAATGGGCAGCCAAAAAACAGCAACCAAAACCGGCGCTCGAATATGTGTGATTAATGGTTGTTCAAACTGAACCTGATATTAGCATCCGAATTAACGGTACCCTTGGACGGTCACTAACTAGCATCGTTACCCTAACTGTACAAGTTGTCAATGTTATCCGAAGGAATCCAGCCATCATTATGATTGCAATACAAATGATCACTTGAGTCATTCGTGTAGTCACTGGCAATCATTGGAACTGTCCTCATCATCCAAGTCACAATCAATGACAGATGCTGTTCAAATCTGTGATGAACCCTGCAACCACATTGAGACAGTCAAAGGAAAGAATAGAGAATAGAGACTTCCCAGGGGTGCATCAATCAACAAAACTTTGACTGATCGATTACTGGATGGATATCACTATTCGATTACGAAGCTGATCATCCAGCCCGTGGAATGGAACTCGGAAACTGTCAAAGTGAATATACCGATTGGTTACATAAGCCTGCATATTGACGAGATCAACTACAGCATATGGTGCTGTCGCAGCTAGGGACGCTTCAAAGTAGGCTGTAAATCCACTCGAAGCCTTCCATCCAGCAAAGGACCCAAATTGAACGTAATAGCATGTTCATTTGTCACCAGTTTCTTGAAATATAAATGTTAAACAAATATTACTGGGCATGTTCTCAATAGATTTCTTTCGGGCTGTTCTACGTTTATTTTTGACAATGCACCCGTTCATCGGACGGCTTTGGATGCGCAGTTACAGACTAAACGCCAAATTCGATTTCTTCGACCAGACAGTCCATTGGAAGAGGCCTTCAGTAAATTCAAACAGGTAAGCGTTTCTAATTTTTATATCCACTTATCATTTGGGACTGAAAACACTGAATACGTACGAGATATGCCAAATGGTTTGACGATACGGACACATCGTATAAATCTTCTTCAATCAATATGTGGTGCGGCATTCCACATCAGTACGACCGTCAACTGTGCAGCATACGATTGCTTTCCCACCTTCTCAATTCTTAACCAAGCTTTAGAACATGAAAATTTGTAGAAAATAAAATGTTTTACCATTCGTAACCCTCAGAATATGTTCCAATACAATTGCATCTGACTCACCTGCAGTGGTATAACTAAAGGATTGTGCGTCGAGGCTACAGGACTACGGGTCGTGGCTAAAGCATTACGGGTTTTGGATAAAGCTTGTTGGGAAAGGGTGTGTATTGTATCGGATTGTATTGTAATAACTTCTGTAGGCATAAAGCCTACATTTCAGTTAAAAAAATTATACAGTTTGGAGCAAGGGAGAAAATGAAAATAACAATGAAAAAAGAGAGAGTTAAATCCCCAAACTGTTAAAAAAAAGTCTGTGAAAACCTGTTCTTTGTTAACTAGACGTGCTAATGAG